TGGTAACTTCATCCTCTTGTTTCCTTTTCGCAATTGGACTTAAACTGAACACAACACAAACATGTTGCCCCCTTAGCAGCAAACTAATACACTGCACACTGTATAGCTTGATGCTCCTGATATTTCAAAATGATCTAGTTTACCATGAGCATCACAGCAGAACATCTACACTTTTCACAAATTGTACTGGCTGATGAACTGGGTCAACCCTGAATTTCTCTTTTAAAATGAAAAAGAAATCTCTTAATTGAAGATACCACTCAGTTTTAAAGGCATTTTCTCCCTCATGCCTCCCCGCAACCAACATGTTTCACTGCCAACTTAACACCGCTATATCATCATCACCCATTGCTGCTCCAAGCTGACCACTGTGAAGTTTGTAACAGTAAGTATAGCTGCCCATCCTTCTGGAAGCGTATGACCTCTGCTGTACATCACCGTGTAGCTGTTGAAGGCACTTAATCAACCTTATAGTACATTTTACTGCTGCCAGAGATGCTCAAGCATTGTGTTTAGTAGAGGGATTGAAATAAGCAGCAGGGGACCATGAATCTGACTTTCAGCTGGCACAGTGTATTAACTTTTCATATATTCACCTTCTAACCTCTTATACTGCCAACAATTTTGAACTGCTTCTCAAGCTGGCTTTGATCTTTTCCAGCTTTCATATACATGTCTGTGCAATCCTCCCCTTATTTCTATTTCTGTCCTCGCTTAATTCTTCTGGCATCATCAAACAGATGCAAAACAATGGCTCCATGGGGGACCCGATACTGTAAAATGTAACATTTAGGTACTGTCCAGAAGTCGAGCAAAATTCACACAAAAAATTAAAGGAGAAAGAATACACCCACCGCACCAGATTTTTTTTTAAGGCTCACTCAATGACGGGCTATCGAATGGGCTACTCGAGTAAAACTGATTAATGGCTGAGATTATTGTGGTAATGCAGCTATTCCCTCCCCCCCCCCAGATCTAAACTTTCAAAGAAATCTTATCTTTATGCCAAAGGCATTAACGAGTACTTGAGTTCAGATATGTAATTTAAGATGTGGTTAGATCTGGATTGCTCGCTTTCGCTACATTTTTTTTTTGAAAGCAGCTTTCCTCAATCATTTATCATTTTTAAAACGTATTCTCTCTAAAATAACCATTGCCTAACCTCGAGTCTTGACAGGCAAACCATTCCCAAACTTCGACCTATTGAACCTGCAGTTACAGTTTCCAAACACCCTTTATGATTTATGAGGAAGGAATTCCCCATTAACCTGAACAACTCAACATGGGGGAATCCTTTGGACAGCCTAAATGTATCCAATCAACACGTCAGTACACTTGTATGCTCATGCCGTTGGCTGTATTCAATCTGAATTGGCTGTTATTTTTGGCCCCTTTTCTTAAAGAGTACATTTTCTCACCATTCCATAGCTAAAAGCATGGCCAAATGAGTTGCTTCCTGCCTTCTGACAATAAGTTAGATAAGCTTCGTTATTAAATAAGTTGAATAAAAACAAATTAAAGAGGGCGCCACTTGCATGACTTTTTACTTTGCATCTATGCTTGGTCTTCAGTGAGTGCTGTCTGTTGACATTAGAAACTAGACCAAACCTATGTTATTGCTGCAGTCATGTTTGTGAGCCCACATGCTGCATCGCTGTGGCACAAACATTGCCACACAAATATGCTGGGCCACCACAGTGACCGTGGAAATAAACTTCACATCAAAGGCATTACGGTCTAAGACTTGAAACCAAGAAATTCACCAAGCATGCTTAGACAGCATCTTCTAAACCTATGACCACTTCCATCTAGAAGAACAAGGGTAGTAGATACATGGGAACACCATCTCCTGCAAGTTCCTCTCCAAACCACTAACTGGCCTTGGAAATATATTACTATTCCTTCACTGTCGCTGGATCAAAATCCTGGAATTCCTTCCCTAACAGTACTGTGGGTACACCTACAGCAAATGGGCTGCAGTTATTCAACAAGGCAGTTCATCATGGCCTTCTCAAAGTCAACTGGAGATGAGCAATATGTCCTGGCCCAACAGTGAAGCCAGTGTCCCATGAATGAATTTAAAAATGGATGTTAAAGTCTATGAAATTTGCTAGACCAAATTGTTCTAATCCAGGTTTCTGCTCCGCACTCCCAACCACCATCAATCTAGACTCCTCCAGCTCCAAACTGTGAATTGTTAGGTGTAGGAAAATCTTCCTGGTACCACATCCATGTTGATTCTCCTCATATAAGCCAAGGTACTAATCAAGTCATTTGACCCCAACTCACCAGGTGGGAATCTAGTGAGCTCGATGGGAAGCTACTTTTACACCTCACTCACTGTCTCAATGGAGAAGTGTGCAAACTCAATCTCATTAGTTTCTCAATGGGCAGTTTAGATTAAGATAGGTGTTCATCAGCGATTTAACAACAAAGGGAAGACAAGTCTGATTCTGTCACAGTTTTAAATCCTTGAGAACATATTTTCCAATTAACCATTGAACAGTCACTAAAACTAAAGTGCTAGAGAAACTAATGGGGGCTAAAGACCAATAAACCTGCCGGACCTGATAGGATTCATCCTAGGATATTAAAGGAAGTAACTTCCTAAATAGTGGATACTTAATCTGCCTTAGATTCTAGAAAAGTCCCTGAGGATTGAAAAACTGCAAATGTAACATTTTTAATGGAAATGGGAGGAAAGCAATAAATAGGCAACAGTGGGCCAGCGAGCTTAACATACGTTATTGGGAAAATGTTATCTTAATGTAATAGTGTTATCTAATATATGTTAAATGTAATATGATAAAGAGTGTAAAAAGGAGAGTATTAAGAAATGCTGTATGATCAGTCACTCAGTTTGGCTTCATGAAAGGTAAATCATGCCTGACAAATTTATTAGAATTCTTTGAGGAGTTAACAAGGAGAATAGACAAAGGGGAACCAATAAATATGAGCTCAGTTGGCTGGATGACTGAGATAACAAGGTGTAGAGCTGGATGAACACAGCAGGCCAAGCAGCATCAGAGGAGCAGGAAGGCTGACGTTTTGGGCCTAGACCCTTCTTCAGAAATGGGGGAGGGGAAGGGGATTCTGAAATAAATAGGGAGAGAGGGGAAGGCGGATAGAAGATGGATAAAGGAGAAGATAGGTGGAGAGGAGACAGGTCAAAGAGGCAGGGGTGGAGCCAGTGAAGGTGAGGAGTTAGGGAGTGTGCAGTGCAGGGTGATGCCAACAATGTGGGTTCGATTCTTGCACTGGCTGGGGTTACTGTGAAGGACTCAATCTCTTCCCCTTGCCTGAGGCATGGTAACCCTCAGGTTAGACCATGACCAGCCGTCTCTCTCTCTCTCTCTAATGAAAGAGCAGCCCTGTGTTCTGGTAGGACTATGGCAATTTCACCTTTACAGCCAAGGTGATAATGGTCAAAACCAAAGGAGTTGTTAACTAGTCCCTAATTATTTTTGAGAAGTTGTTGATTGAAAACTTAATGGCAAATGTACACTGGGATCTATGGTTTTGTGAGAAACTATTATGTAAAGTGGCCGAAGTATGCTGCTGTAGTTTCTGACGGAGGGAAAAGAAAGAAATGATTGTTTTGGTCAAAGCCTCTGGTCTAATTCTCTTCATGATTTATGGAAATAAATTCAACAGGACCCTCAAAATACATTCATAAAATGGTGGAATTGCATGTAATTGAATTGCTAACTCAGTTACCCCAACTTGTCTCTTATTGAAGGTAATAGCAGTTTCTTTACAGATACTTGCCAAGGCCACCAACAGACAGAAATGCAATGCTAAAAATCTAAGTTTCCAAGTAATAAATGCACGTTTCACTTATCTGCTCACTGTAAATTACTGACCCAATGTAAATAGTTCTGTAAAATGAAACGTATACAAATATTTATCTTTCTGCACCTTTTGCAAGTTGCTTGGGAAAGATAAATCAGAAGGGTCACCGGACCCGAAACATTAACTCTGATTTTTTCTTCACAGATGCTGCCAGACCTGCTGAGCTTTTCCAGCAACTTCTGTTTTTGTTCCTGATTTACAGCATCTGTAGTCCTTTTGTCTTTTTTAAAATAAATCCTAGATGGGCTTCAGTTTTAATTGAAAGTCCAGTAGTACTGCAGCTGTCCTACAGATGTTAAACAAAATCAGTGTGAAGTAAAATCTTCATGATTTTCTTTTGTGCTTGTGGTGTAGTGTGCTAAGTAGAAAGTGATCTCATGTGCATTAAATAGAAGCAATCTGTTTATAGTTTTTTTTCCCTCCCAAAGAGCTCCACCCTCTTGGATGCAAATTCGAGACAAAACGTCAGTAAAAAAAAATCATTCTCTCCCTACAGCAACACATTTTCTTAATTTTCCTGAGGTTTGGCATTAAGGAGCTGACCAACTCTATTGACTGCTAGCCAGCCATTGTTGGAGATGAGTATTAATCAACAAACAACTTGTTTCGCAGTGTCAGATTGCTAGTGCTGCCTGCAATGGGTTGGAGGGCTTTGGCTTCAGCACATGGTCTAAGCTGGTGATCCAATGAAAAACTGAGGAAATGTTGCACTGTTGGAAGCACTGTCCTTCAGATGACATGGTTAAAAGATGGTGTACCGATAGTAGATGTACTGAGATTTCTAGAAGGGATTTGATTGTGTGCCATATCAAAGGTTACTGTGGAAAATAAAACCTCATGGTATAGGGGATGGCATATTGGTACAGACAGAAGATTGACTGACTAACAGTGAGCAGAAAGTAGGTGTAAAGGGTCATTTTAAAGCTGGTGAGATGTAACAACTGGTGCACCACAGGGAGCTCAACTATTTCCAATTTATATCAATGAGTTAGATGAAGGGACAGAAGGTATGGTTGCCAAATTGCTAATGACACAACAATAGGTAGGAAAATAAATTGTGAAAAGGACACAAGGAGGTTATAAAAAGATATTGAGAGGTGAATGGCAGAAGGAGCATAATGTGGGAAAATGTGAATTTGTCTATTTTGGCAGGAAGAATAAAAAGGCGTATTATCTAAATGGTGAGAGATTGCAGAGTCTGGAGATGCAGAAAGACCTGGGGTGACCATGCGCATGAATCACAAAAGGTTAGTATGCAGGTACATTGAGTAATTAGGAAAGCTAATAAAATGTTATCATTGATTGTGAGGGAAACTGAATACAAGCAGTACACCTCAATATCTGCACCGAAATCGTGACTTCAAAACTAAATAATTGTGCAAAGCACTTTCAGAGGTTTCAACATGATAAGACATAATGTAAATGCAAATATTGAGGTGCACTAATGAGATGTCTCTGATGTCTGAGTTTTTTACAAGCAGAACATTAGTGAGACTGCATCTGGAATACCATATACAGTACTGGTCACTGTACTTATGGAAGTATGTAAATACATTGGAGATATTTCTGAAAAGGTTTATGAGACTAATATCTGAAATGGGTGGGTTGTCTGAAACAAATGAAACCCTGAGTGGTCTCAATAAGAGAGGATGTTTCCTCTTATGGAAAAATCTAGAACCAGAGACCACTGTTTAAAATTAAGGAATTGCCCATTAAAAATGGTGATGAGGTAAAATATTTCTTGTGAAAGGCTGAGAGTTTTTGGAACTCTCTTCCCGAAAAGACAGCGGAAGCAGAACCTTTGAATATATTTAAAGCAGAGGTTAATAGAAACAGTGTTGGTGGGAATCTGTATTGAGACTACAATCAGATCAGCCATGATCTTATTGGATGACAGAGCAGGCTGGAAAGACTGAATGGTCCACTCCTGCTCCTGATTTCCATGTTCATATGTAACTGTCAAACAATGAGCTTTTAATGGCAGCCTCCTGGACAGCACTTTTGTTCAGCTAGCACTACCAAAAGAAGGCTCCATTCGGAACACAGGAACATGAGTAGGCCATTCAACTGGTGAAGCTTGTTCTGCTGTTCAATGAGATTGTGGCAGATCTTTGGCCAAACTCCACATACCTGCCTTTGGCCTGTATCCCTGAATACCTTTGCTTGTTAAAAAAAACTATCTATCCCAGATTTAAAATTAACAACTGATAATTGAGAACAACAGTACACCTCAATATCTGCACCGAAATAGTGACTTCAAAACTAAATCATTGTGCAAAGCACTTTCAGAGGTTTCAACATGATAAGGCATAATGTAAATGCAAATATTGAGGTGCACTAATGAAATGTCTCTGATGTCTGAGTTTTTTTGCTTCCTGGAATGTAATTTTCTGCCCTAGTATTTTGTTTCAACCAATAAATTGGGCATAATTAATTTATTTTCCTAGACCATTTTAACTGCCATTAACATTGCAAATTCAGATAGGCGAGTTAGTACAAGTTTCCTTACTTCTTTGCTAAATGCAACCATGCATGTAGCTGTACAAGAGGTGTACCTATCTTTGTGGTCTGTATTGACCTGCTCTGTGGCAGGCAAGAGTTATAGCAACATAAAGTGGTTCCTTTCATAGATCATTAATGATGGCTGTCCATGTCAATACAGTGGTACACATAATGGCTGAATGTAGATTCTTAATGGGTAGAGCAATAGAGAAGAATAAAACGTTAAAAAATTAATTTTGTGTGTACTGATGTTTAAAATTCACTTGTTGTTGGACTACATTTTTCACCCTACTGTTCCATTTATTTCTCTGCTTCTCTTTTGTGTTCTTTACCTCGTCCACAGTAAAACAGGCTCTATTTCTCGTCCTGTGGAACTGATGTATGCAAGGCCATTACACCGCAAAACATCTTAAGTTAACACCACAATGTTTCCCTTTGAGAGTGAAAATATCCAGCCAGATGACTGGATATGCAAATCTGAACCATCCGATCAGATGCCCAGATTTTCACAGAGCTGCTGCCCCTGTTTAAAGGCACCCTAGGCCAGCCAGCAAAGACAGTATCAAACACAGTGGGTTGCAACCTGCAGAAACGTTGCAAACAAACTGCAAAATGACAACAGCTGGATAACCCGTGTGGTTAACCAATATATACTTATACTGGGAAAGCACATCACTTCACAGAAATGCATATGATCCATAATGAACCCATTATTTAAGAATAATATGGGAACCTCCAGAATTATCATCATATGGAATAATTATTTCATGCTGACTTGTGAATTTGGTATATAGTTGCCAAAACATTGGATTTGAAAAAAGTTGATTTATTTCAGGAAAAATGCAGTTTATTCACAGCTGTTAGTATGTTCAGTCCACTGTTTGATTATTTGTAATGTAATGAATGTTTTATCACTTCAATAATATTTATAAGCTGGTTGTTATCACCATGTGTATTGACAGTTCCACTAATATTTCCTTATCCTCCTGAAAACATTTACTTCTGAATTAGACTCATTCGATGCCTCCCCCAAAGCATGTTCTTATTAAGTCAGCTGAGAGGGTTTTTGCAGTTATCTTAACTGCACTGGGACTGGAAAGCTATAATAGGCAAACTTCAACTGACATCCACACATGCTGCCAGTAACGGTTGCTGAGATAGTGATCAGGAGCAGGCATCCTTGTTGAAATACTCTCTCAAACCCACTGCACCCAATTGTGGCCACTTTATTCAAAGACTAGACCAGCCCAGGATTTGACCCTTGAATCCTCCTGGTTTTCTAAAGTTCAACTAATTGCTGTTATAACCAGCTGAGAAACAGAGAGCCTTTTCCCATAGAAGAAAACAAAATTATTAAAAGTGGCCATGAAAACATGACTTATTTCAAGTTAACTCTGGTACCCATTATCTGCAATAGCTATACCTGCTGATACTATTGTTGGGGAATAAGCAGACTGCCACAGAAATCTTAAACTGTATTTATGAACTGCAAATTATCTAAATCAGCTTCTTTATTATCAATTCACTTCTCCTAGTTTAATGGAATTATATAGTTATATCAACCTACTTTTAGATCAATAAATTACTAGAATATCCTACCAAAAATTTACTCTCCTGATAATTCAAGGTAACATGATGCTAAGTCACACAGACAAGGATGATCCCAGGCTTAATTCCTTGATCTGTCCTATTAAATCAATGTAAAATGTCAGTGTCCCCTAAACAGCAGGCAGGAAAAATCAAATGTTGTTCCCAAACTTGAATGCTTTCCAGTCAACCCTGCTGATAATTGTACCTTTGTAGACAGCAAGGGACAACAACTTTTGGCTCTATGGTTGAACAACCTCGGCTTGCCTTGCAGGAACCCTGTCAGCACCCACATAACTGTATCTCACTATTAAGAAGTCAGATTTAGGTGGGGAAAACCTGGTGTTAGCAGGAATAAGACACAGAGGGAGAAACCTACCCCTTTACACAGCGACAATAAGGAAGTTGCAATCATTAGCTTATTTTAGAGTAAACAGCCTAATGAAGGACACAATAAATAATTCAAATTGTATAGTGAATAAAGCCCATTAACATCATGTTGTATTCATCTTACAATATGACCAAAAAGGTGCAAATGTACTATGCAATGCTAAATTATCTCATCTGTCTTGCTGCTATGGCGAGGACCAGTTATGATTATTGTGGTTTTGGTTAAACAAGGAAAGGCATTAACATACTGGTTTAGTGTCATGGTTAGGTCAGCGTGCTTGCCAAGTATGTCAGATGCCTTTGATAAGGTAGTTACATCATAGGCTGGCATTAGACATTACCAAGAATAGCAAATTTGGTTACGTCTCTAGTGCTGAGCTGTTGTGTTTGTAATAGTCTCAACTCAGAATACTCTGGTTGTGTTATTGGTATGCCAGAGTAAGCTATATTCTTACTTTTGAAATAGCCTTTTTTGATTTGACTCTTGCTATATTACCGTATTCTCTGAAATTTTAAAAGAACTTTCTCCAAAGAACAAAGCCCCACAGTATCCCCTCTCTAAGATACCATGGACATGCCTCTGGGAAAGAAGGGACAGAAGTGGACATGCTTCCCATTACTGTTCACTACCCAGCAGTTTCTGATGAAGGTACATTTGTGTGGAATATAAGGTAAGAACAAGGATCAGAATGGGTTATGATGCCTTTTATGGTTCATTAGCCAATTAACACTGAGGTTTGTGAATGAAGAATAACTCCATGAGAGTGGTACAACAATGCTGCTACTGTTAACTATGCAATAATACCTCAATGTGATTCAGGAGAGGACAGATCTGCCCTGGAACAGAAACTGGGACTGGGTAAGATCATGGATAGTAAATATCATGTCTTAAGGTCAGGCTTGTACAATACTTCTGAAATGAGTATCTCCAAGCCCTCCGTTTCTATTTGGATTGTTGCTCTACCTTAAAGGTGGCACGTGGGTCAGTATACTGTAGACTATGATTGTTAATAGGACACAAATACACATTTTTAGAAAAAAATCTAAAGATTTCCTAATTACCCTTCCTGTTTGATAATGAGAATTGAACTCATCACCAATCCTTCGCAGTTCTTGTCCAATCCATACTTCAGGCTGAACATCCATGGGCACTGATGGAGAGCCTTCCTGCGTTCCAGATGGGTGTATCCCTTCTGTGCCTGCAAAATTAATAATTTAAACATTCAGGGCTCAGGAAAATAATGGTCTAGTAGCTCAACATGCACTGAGGTCCTTTTCATGCAAGAACCTACAGCTAAATGTAAACCGCATCCAACTACTTGAGCTAAAACCTTGTTCACAAATAACCTTGCCAGAGGCTTTCTAATTTCAGAACAATTATACATGTAGGCGTTCACAGAAGGCAAGATTTTTACTGACTTTTTTTAGGTCCTGTCACTGGACTAGAGATCCAGAGGCCCAGGCTAATGTCGCAGGGGAAAAGACAGCTGGTGGAACCTGAGACAACAAGGTGCAGGGCTGGATGAACACAGCAGGCCAAGCAGCA